CCCCAAAACCCCAAAACCCCAAAACCCCAAAACCCCGAATAAAATATATCTGATTGAATATTATATTGACTAACTTTTGAAGTCCTGATACTGATTAGAAATTTTCCCCTACGTCTAACTTCTTATCTTTGGCGTACTTATCAAAGTTTCCAGTGAAGATATTTGGCTGGTTGGATTCTGGAGCCTGACTTCTGCCTCTTTTTCTAGCACTAGCCGGAGCGAACTTCTTTTTCATCTTTTTGTAGTTATCTTCTATCAATCCGGCTAAGTCGTCTTGTTCTGATAACTCACTGCCCATAAATTCTCCATCCTTCTTACCTCTCTTCTTTTTCTTTTTATTTTTAGTTGGGTTAGCCTCGAGTCTTTGGAGATAGATACTCTCAAGTCCCTTGAGTTTGTGATCTCCTTTTGCACTTCCTTGTCTTGACATCGCTCTGGATGGAGGGCCAAGAGATTCAAATTCATAACTACTGTTTTCTAAGAATTCGTCTAATTTTCTGTCATACACCTTATCGAAGTCCTGATTAGAAGCTTTGCTGATCGGACCTCTTTTCTTGTTGAATTTCTTGCTCGTCAGTCCAGTCTTTCCAAGTCCTCCTTTTGAGTGTTCAGATCTTAGAGTTCTTAATTGATCGTTATCTCTTCCAGAAACGCTTCCAGCTCCTTTGAATATTTTATCTCTTCTTGCCGGTCTGCTGAACCCTCTGCTTGCTCTGGAGGAGGTGGATCTTCCTGACATTTTTCTCTTATATTTTCTCGCTGGTCTTCCTTTTGCCTCTCCTCCATATGCTTTGGCCATCGCATAATCTGCAGCAGTAGGATCTTCATATTCTTGCTTGGGCTTCTTTCTTCTTCTCCTCTTCTTTTTCTTCTTCTTTTTAAGAATTTTTCCTCGAGGTTGTCTTGCGTTTAGTATTGGGACTCCTGCAGGGCCAGTGATGGAATCATTATCATCGTCATCGTCATCATCTTCATCTTCTTCTCCTTCATCGTAATCGTTCTCTGAGTCATCATAATATTCTTCCTCTTCATTATATTTCTCTTCAGGCTCTTTCTTATATTTAGGCCTGTCAAATCTCTGATTGGCGATGTTGTAATTACTGGGAGTATCCTCCATTAGTGAATCAACTGAAGTATTTCCTTTCTCTTCCTCATCGAAATCTTTTAGGATGTCAAGGTCTGAGTCCTGTTCCTTGTCGATTTCGCTCATCAGTTTGGATAAGGAGGATGAAGAGTTCTGCCTTATCATGCCATTTCTAAAGACTGGCGGAATTTCTCCATCTTTTAGGATATCCTTCTTAAAAACAATATTTCCATTTTTATCGATTATGTTACCATCTGGGTCGATGAGATATCCATGCTTGTTTACAAGATTGCCGTCATCATCATAAAATTGGCCTGGCTTCTCGGCAGGTTTCAAAATTGGCTTTCCGTCCTTGTCTCTCTTAAAATTTCCTTTGATTGTATCAGGATTGAAGAGGGAGAATGGGAATATCTTTGGGAACTCTCCTTCATATAGATGCTCTTTATCCCAGATTCTGTTTCCTTTGTTGTCAACAATGTTTCCATCTGGGTCTGTCAGGTATCCTTTATCATTGCATCTTCTTCCCTTTTTATCAACAATTTGTCCTTTTTCATTGCGTTCTAAGATAATGTCTCCTCTTGGGTCTTTATCATATCTTCCCATGACGTCAAAGACCTTATATTGCTTTCCACTATAGTTTAGCATGGGAGGTAGGTCTCCTTTGTTGGTAAGCTGATCTTTGTCTAGCTTCTTCCTTCCATACTTGTCAGTAACATTGCCATCTTCATCAATGAGAATTCCTTTCTCATTCACTTGTTTTCCAGAATCATCTGCAAGTTTACCATCAGGGGTTTCTTGAAGAATCGGTTTTCCGTTCTTACCCACAGCAAAAGCTCCTGTGATATCATGAGGGTTGAAGTTATATCTCTCTAAGTTAAAGGGCTGAGGGATGTCTCCTCTTGCATCAAGTTTATCTTTATTGAACATCTCTTTCTCAGTCTTGGTATCAATAACATTGCCATTTTCATCAATAAGATATCCTTTTTCATTGACTCTTCTTCCGTATTTGTCAACAAGATTTCCATTCGGAAGGGCAACTGGAGCTATAACTCCTTCATGGTTGGGTTCCAAATCTCCCTTAATATCATTCTCATTGAAGGTTCTCTTCTCAGCAGACGGAGGTATTTGCATTCCGTCAATGTTCGTTGTTGAAGAATTCAAAGGAACCGGTACAATTTTTACATCTGTATCATTCAGCAGATTAGACTTATCAGAAGCACTTGGTGGGCTATTGAAACCGATTTTCGATTTTGAAAGTTCCTCTTCAGCTTCTTTGATTAAGTTGTCTTCTCCTTCCTTCTCAGCTAGCTTCTTCTCTTCTTCAAGGAACTGGTTGTCTTCTTCAGCAATCTTTCTCCTGAGTTCTTCTTCATCAATCAGATTTTTGTTAAGTCCTTTTTGCAACTTCTTCGGGCTTCCATAAGTTGCTCCTATATCATCCTCTTCTTTAATGACATCAAGTTCTTCATCATCAACAGCATCAGAATCTTGGTCAAGGTACTGATTTTCTTCAATGATCTTATCTTCTAGCCTTCCTCTCCTTCCTCTACCTCTTCCTGGCTTTCTGCCATGACGAGCTGGTCTGCTGTCATCAGAGTCATCATCTCTGAATGGGATGTCATGGTCTCCTCCAACCATGAAGGTTTGTGTATCTCCGTCTTTATATGACTTCCCAATCTTTCCAAGAGGATTTGGAGGCTTGCTCTCTGCATACACATTGTCCTGTGGTACCCAAAAATCGTCATCTCTATCGAACCCAAGCGCAAGAGGGTTGATTAAAGGATCTTCGATTTCTCTCCTGGCTCTTGGAGATAAAGGATATGATCTAGGTCTATCTGAAAGCTCTTCTATTGGATTCCCATAAGCTGGCAAAGAATTTCTTCTTTTAAATCTGTCATCATCATCAATGCAATCTTCAATATTGTTGTTCATTCCAATGCCTTTGTTCCCTTTCATCATTTCAATGATTTTTTTGAGAGCTTCTTGTCTCATCTTTTGTTCAATTTTCTCTGAGGATTCGTCAATTTCTTCCAGCTTTGACATATTAGGTTCAACATTTACTTTGGCATATTCTCCTCTCTCATTCAGCTTTCTTGTATTGCAGAATTCATAGATTAAGAATAAGATCATAATCACTTCGAGAATTGCTGTTTCAATTAGAGTAATATAGAGCTGGGTTCCCCAAGTGAGACTCATTAGACCAAGCGCATCAGCTGCAAGGCAAGGAATAATGGATCAAATGATGTGAATGACTCACATAAAGGTCATATAATTGATAAATCTCATTATATTATCAAATCCTGCCCAGAAGTGCTCCATTCCAAAGAAACAGCTGTAATATAGCTTTAAGAACTTGAAGTTTACCACTAATCCAAAGAACTGGATTCAACACCTAGTTTTCTTGTAAGAACTTGACCAGGACTTGAAATTGTTATTTCTACAAACAATTCAGCAGAAGATGAGACTCATGAGGATATTTCAAAGAACCAGTCCTAGAAGTGCAAGTACGGTTAGCATAAGAACCTGGGTTTCGCTCTTCCAATATGCATGGAATATCTGCGTACAGTAGTATATAAACTGCAGAATAGACAAGAAGGCAATGAAACTTGTTGCAATTAGTGACCTCGGATCCTTGACTCAACCAATAATTGCCACTATAAGCAAGAAGAGAGCAAAGATTAAGAACGGAAACGGCACAATATTGTAACTATTCGAAGAAGTTGTAGTAGTCGTATTTGTAGTAGTAGTTGGCTCTGTAGTGGTATCAGTAGGAGAAACTTCTCAAGCGGTCCCTGCAGTGTTTGCTTGGTATCCAGTTGGACAAGGGTTAACTCAAGCACTATTGTGCAGCATTGTTGGGGATGTACAAGAAGTGCAAGTTGTCTGACTTCCAGATCAATTCTCTCAGCCAATTCAAAGTAAGCATTCATTGGTGATGTTAGTTCTTCCAGATGAGCACGATGCTTGGCAAGTTACTCCTTCTAATAAAAGACTACCAATACAAGTTAGTCATGTACTTGTTGTTCCGGATCAAGTTTCTCAGTTACCTGTACACGAATCACATCCATCTCCTGTACTGTTAGCTATAGTTCCAGTTGGGCAACTCGCCAAACATTGGTTTTGATGAAGAATTTTATTTGGAGAAGAGCAGGCTGTACAGTTTGAAGTGCTAACACTTCATTCAGCACAGTTATTAGTGCAAGTTTCGCATCTATTTGAAATAGCAACAGTGTTGGTTGGTCATGTACTAGTACATTGATTTGTTGCAGTGTTCAAGTTCAATGATCCAGTACATGATAAACAATTGGTTGCTGAACTCCCACTACATGTATTACAAGTAGAGTCTCAGTCTACACAAGTAGATCCTGATGTATATGTTGGTTTAGCAGTGACATCTGCTCAGGAATCATAACAGTTTTCGCTGTACAAAAATCTCCCTGCCGATCATGTTGCACATCTAGCAGCATTAGCAGCACCTCCAGTAACTCAAGTAGCTCAGTTAGTATTACAAGCTGTGCATGTAAAATCAGTGCTGTTTGCAGTATGATCTGTCGCACAAGATGAAGTACAAGTATTTGCTGTGGAAGTATGATACTTCTCAGGAATAGAAGTAATAGTTGTAAAACAAGATAAACAGGCTGACTTATCGGCTACTTGGCAAGTTTTACATGGATAATTACATTCAAGAGAAGGCACCATACCAGTGGCGACTTGATCAATAATGTAGGTTCTACCAGAGTCAGCATAAGTTCTGATAGTAAATGAAGTGGAGGTTGGCGTGGTTGGGTTTGTGTAATTTCCAACAGAAACTGTAACAGTTCTTGAAGCTGGTAATTCATTAACAACTGGTACAACAACAGTTCCTGAGCTATCTGTGCATTGCCCAAGATCTCCAACAGCTCCTGCGCCACATCCTATGGTAGCATCAAAAGCAAATGTAAGAGTAGGAGTATTTTCAATTACAAAGACTCCTCCTGCTGGTATCTTATTGGCAAGAGTGAAGGTAAAAGTGTAGGTAGTTGCTGTATTAGCAACACTGGAACCCTGGGTCAAGCCTGGAGAAGTCAAAGTTCCTGCAACAGATGTCGTTGGAATAGTAGTTGATGAATGAGTGCTTATCACATGAGTATCACTTGTAGATGCTACCACACTCACACTGACTGCAGTCGAAACTGGCCTTGTGCTTGACTGTACAATTATACCTGACACTGAAAAAGATATAGAGGTACCAGCAGTGGCTACAGTGTAAGTTAGCACAGTGCTTGAAACTCTTGCGCAGGCACTTCACATTGTAGCACTTGCAATGCTGATGTCACTCGGAAATGTGATAATATACTTGTCGCCAACAATGAGAGGAGTATTTGAATTCGCAGTACTAGCAATAGTGTATTCAGCTGATCCTCCATTGACTAAATTAGTTGGATTCGGAGTTATCGAAAAAGAAGAAAGCGTGTTGGCAGTGGTTATAGTAATACTTCCTCCAGTCCCACTTTCAAGTGCATTTCCTGAACTATCGGTGATGGAAACAGTGAACGACTGGCATATCGAAGTTGTTTTCCTTGGATTTTTGAAATTGTTATAACTGAATGTAAGAGGAGTGGTATTGTCTTTAGCAGCAGTAATAGCACTAGGAATCAACATTGAGGTCACATTAGCACTTGAAGCATCATACATTGTCAAACAGTTATCTCCAGAACCAGCAATAGGTACTTGTACTCTTACTTGATAAGAGGTCAGAAGGTTAGATTTATGCCCAATGGTGAAATCATATTGAACAGGAGTCAGTCCAGTCACCGAGTTAGTCCCAGGAGTATTGACAGCAACAGCAATGGAAGTCAATGTTTGGGCAGTTGCTTGAAATGGATTAGTGAATGATGTATCACTACTATCATACACATCGACTGCATAATTTGTTGACGAAATGTTGTTGTAAGAATTTACAGTAAAAGATCCTGTGTTAAAGACAGCAGTTGGGTTTGTGCCAACAACATTTTCAAAGGATTTGGTCCCTGCTGAGAGTGCATAGCTTCCTTGAATGGTTAAAGTATTAGATGAAACTGATCAAGTAGTCCCAGAAGAAAATCCGATCAGATTTGTAGGACCTGTTCAACTGGTGATGGTGAATTCACTGTTTGGGTAAGTCACTGTAATAACCCAAGGATTGGTCAAAGCATGTGCTAGGGTAAATCCTAGTTTCCATTGAGTAGTCTCTTGAACCACAGTACTTGCTGAAGTCACATGAGTGAAGACAAATGAGGTAATGCTCCCAGTTGAGAAGCTAGTAGAAGCAATTGTTGCAGTTCCTGTTGCAATACTGTCATCACCAGTGGTAGTCAATGTATAAGAAAAAGATCCTGTTGTTTTAAGCTGAGGAGCTGCCGTCAAATTCAAAGAAAGTGTTACAGATTGAGTTGATTGATGAGTTCCAGTTCATGATCCTGAAGTCCATTGTGTTGTGGTACAACTACCACCTCCACTTAGAATGTTGAAAGCAAACAATGCGGAATTTCATGGGGTATCAGTGGGAATAGCCATTGTCATTTTTCAATTTGCTTCAACCTCTATTCCAGGTGATATCGTGAAGGAAACAGCTTGTTGACTGTACACAGTATAAGTTGTAGGAGGAGAAATCCCTATAGTTGCTGTCTTCGCAGTTGTAACAGCCAAGGTGATTCCGCTTGTTTTCTCAGCAATCTTGTAATCATCATTTGATGGATCAACTATTAAGAAAGTGAAGCCACTGACTGTAGCAGTAGAAATAGGATTTTTGATGTTAGTTATTTTAAATCCATAAGTTGTTGCAGAAGCGATTGTAGAAGAGTAAAGATTTGTGATACTGACTGTAGCAACACCTGTGCTGGTCGCAGTAGAAAAGCTACAAGTTGGTGTAACTTGGATATTATTTGTTGCATTAACACAAGTTATCGAACCTTCAAAATAACCTTGATTCGTGGTTGGTGTATTGAAATAAAATCTTCTTGGAAACGTCATGATAACTTTAAAACTTGAAGTCAAATCAAATGCGCCAACTTGAAATGAAACTGTGAGTGGAGTATTTGCTCCAACCACTAAAGAGTCAGGAACAAGAGTAACTGTGCTAACAGTTGCTGCAGTGTAGTCAACATAAGCAGTTTGAGTATACGTCGGAGTTGCAGACCCAGTTGTAAAAACTTGCCCAGTGATACCTTCTTGTTGAGTATAAAGATTGTTTATGTAATTTTGGAGCTGAAAAGTTCCAGTCAAACATGAAGTATATGCTCCTCCTGGTGTTGCTTTAACTGTTCTAGCAGAACTATCCCAAACACACGTAAATGTTGCAGATCCTGATCCACATGTATACGGTCAAGTGACAGAAGTTCCTGTAATGTCAAAATAACTTCTAGAGTTTGGGAATGATAGAAGCAGATACTCATCAGCAGCCATTGAACCTATCTGAAAGGTAAGAGTTAGTGTCGTTGTACTTCTAACTGTTGATGTAGCAAGAGTTCCTGCCGAACCTAATGCTCCACTGAAGGAAGTAATCCTCTTAATAAACACTCAAATGAAGATCGCCCAGAGGAATCCCCCTGGGCTCTTCTGAATCTTTGCCATTTAAATTAAATATTATAAAAATCCCTAACTTTAATGGGGTTTTGGGGTTTTGGGGTTTTGGGG